ATGCACGAGCGTCGTCCGTACGTTTAACTCCTCTCTCTCTCTCTCTCTCTCTCTCTCTCTCTCTCTCTCTCTCTCTCTCTCTCTCTCTCTCTCTCCCTCTCTCTCTCTCTCTCTCTCTCCCCCCCCCAACTTACTGGATCTATTCACCTGACGACGGAAGGGGATTTCTCGGCAGACCGCCAAACTTTTTTGATGCCGGCTCAAACCTCGGGAATGCACCAATTACGTCTCGGATTTGAATTCAGAAATGAAGACAACCAAGCAGTTATCCGCCACTCTGGCCAAGATAAACTGTAGAAAAGCCAAGTGACGGATAACTGCTTGGGTGTCTGTGAGCAGTCGCCTCACACAATAAAGGGGTTTAGCGGCTTAAACGACTCTGCTTTACGTGTAAAAACTCGACGAGATAGCCGAAATCCTCAGCTTTCGAACGGTACCCAACTTTGAGCCGTGCGAGCTCTGGTTACGGGGATACAAAAATCCGCGTGCCGAACTTTCCAGGGTGGTCGATAACTAGTTGCTTACCTTATATGCTTTCATGCAACACAATGACGAAATGTGCTAATCTGTGGACATGTACTGTTGTCTTCAGTAATGCTATTCGAGACAATTCTTTTGCGCTGGGTTCGGATCTGTTGACGGCACCTGCAAACTCGAACGTGGTATTGTTGGTATTCGTGGGGCCTACCAACTATTGGTGAGTGATCCACAGACGACGACCGTTCGTCAGAGCTGCTTTTGTCAACTTCAACCCTCATTTGTCTGCGTCGACGACAACAAGGCTACTTCGAACATTATCTGGTTAATCCATCGCTCCCGGATTTCCACTTTTCGTCATCTGCCGTGGACACGGGCACGAACTCCACCGACTCCGTCAGCGGGACAGACGCTTCAACTACAGAAAATACCAAGACAACCACAAGTGTATCATCTGTTCCCTGTTTGTCAGTGACAATATCATTGTGAGAAAAGAGATCTCACCAAGAATTTCATCTCTTTCTGGTTTAGAACTGGTTGCACTGTACGTAAGAATTTAGTTTCTAGAAATCTCAGATCCATAAACATCGAGCAATCAGTTACGCAGCGATTCAATAAAATCCTGCCCTTTTGGCTCAAATACATGTATGAACGATATATTCACCGAAATGGGGTCGTTGGTGTCGAAAAAGCGATTCAGTAGCACTATTTTACATCGGATTCGAACAGCATGAAGATTACCGCAGTTATGTGCCCAATGTGTGTTCTGGCTACCTCAAGCGTTTTCTGGCGTCCTATTCACTGTTCCTGAGGTTGTAAATGCAAAAAATTGTCACTCCCTGTTGTACACGTATCATGCTGCCCGTACCGAAAATCTCACGTTCGTCACCCCATAAACTCCAACTCATGTACAGGTACTCAGGTATCACCTGTCCACAATTATTCTCCAACGAATGGAGTCAAGTTAATACAGTAGCTTGAAAAAGCTACAATGACAACACCACGATAGGCGCCTAACTTGAAGCTCTCAAATTCCTAACCATTGGTAAACGTTAAGTTAAATCAGTCACACCCGCTGGACTATAATTTTTTTTTGGTAAATCCGATGTCATTACATAACTGCACAAACGGACTTGCTAGTTTCATGTGGACAGCTAGTTCTCAAATTGTCTGTTCTTGAAAGACATCATGCAGCCCGATACTAACAATAATACTAGGATAATTCTACTTCGAAGTAATTGTTTTATTATAATAGGTAAAAACACGAATTTTATACTTCTGAAGTATTACGACAAACAGAAATACATCGTCCTCACTTTCACATATTCTTCTTCAGTTCAACTTTCCCTTACTCCACGCAGCCAACGAGTTTAACCACACCCACAAGTCACGTAAGTTTATATGAAAAGCGTCCCCAGAGCCTTCCGAGTGAGGTACACTTTAGAATCGAGAGATGCTGTTGTCCTTCGTTTAACCAAAACCGTGAGTCAGGCCATCGATCAACATAGATCCAGTGGATAACGGTGCTGTATATTTTGTACAGTAGCAGCTCAGATTTGAAATGGAGCACCACACTTGCTATAATAGAGACCGCCATTCCAAGCCATGAATGGATGGAAAACGTTCGTGTATCGCGATTGCTTTCAACTTCTAGCAGAAAGTGCGTTCACCTACACGCTCAGCTTGGCGTCAAGTTGGTGGTGCTACGATAAGAAAGTCGTTTTTTTTTACAATTGAGCGATTTCCCTACATGTACTAGTAGCTTCAGAAGCTCTTCTCTGTTCCGACGGCAAATCTCGTCAATGCCTTCCCGTCAATTGGAAAGCTCACTTCCTCTTCTTCGACAATACTCAAAGCCCAACCAGCGGCAGTGGTCGAGTGGACAGCGTTGACGATGGAGCTGTCCCCGCATGACCAAGAATACTGTCGCGACCTCACAATGCAACTGCTGGACCGAACTCTCTATGACTGCGAGGAACTCGGTCTGGGAACGACGCATGTTGGAAGTCACGCAGACTTGAATGGAGCGCGATGGAAGAAACTTCAGTCACATCCGGGCGTGACGCTGTATGCTGATCGAAGTCCGAACTCTGCCTGGCTACCGGGGATGAACCGTGGAGACTGGGAGCAACCAGTTGCGGTGGTGACTGTGGGCCAGTTGAACTCCACGCTAGACGACTTGCTGCTCGCTTTGTTAACTCCTACTGTCGCTACGATTCGTCTTCGAGGTGTGCTTATGGGTCGACGACCGGAGAAAGACCTTCAACTCGTACCAATTGTGAAGTCTACGCAGGAATCCCCTTTCCAGTTTCTTGGAGTACTGCGGTTTGTGAATACGCAGCACTGGCCGTTGACGATGTTTGTGGACCCTCGAGAGATGGTACTCACGCTTGCCACGGGTGAAGTGATCACAGCTAATGGAAGGCGCTACGGCTACGAAATTTTTCTGTCGGTTCCTGTAGGCCACGACAACAAACGTCCTTTGGCACGTACACAAGTTCTGGAGACGCGGGTATTCTGGGAGCAGCCTGATGGATCCGTAGGCATCTACAGCAAACTTATCGTGGATATTAGAAGCCGTTTGCCAGAGTCAATCAAGCAGGGAATGCTGTGTCGTGGAGTGATGCGTTTCTGGAAGTTCATCCCACGTTGTATCGAAACGAAAAAGCTGCGATGGTGTTTAAAACGCAAGAAAGTATTGATCCGCGAACTCCAGAGTCAACCCCAGGTCATGGGAGGTCCTGCTAGCTGCGGTGGATGTGGTGTTATGACTTCGAAACCTGTAAACGGAAAACCGAGCAAGCGCGAAGAGGTTCGATGCAGACTGTGCGACGCATGGCTGTGCTGGAAATCGTCTTGCCGTGCGTCTTGTCAAGTTACGGCTGCGGTAAGCGAAGGAAAAAATATCTGCGAAAACGAGATAGCTCTCTGTCCTCGATGTATCATCTTCGTGCAAAACCAGAGTGCTGCAACGATCGCACGCTCTGAGCTAATGGAAGCACTTTAGAAAATCTATAACAATTCTTATCAATAAATACGAGACGAACTAATTTTGCTGCTCTAGTTCGTAGCTGAAACTCGTGGGTCATGTACTGACATGGAGTCACGTAACATTTGACCACGCACCCGGTCATCGAGTCGCTTTATGATTATCGTCCGTGCTTCCTACGTCGCACGTCAACAGAACAAAGCCTGACTATTCAACATGATCCTAAATAAAACTAAGAAAAGGGTGATCGTATTTTGAAGAAACGAGCCAACGCACAGTTCTACATGGCACGTCACCTGTGCATTCGTCTCGAATATTGAATCCTTTTGACTGGCATCGTGGCTTCGTGCACAAGCATTCCACGCTCGTCACGCTGTGGTGCTGCTGAGTTGCAGGTACGCTGTACAGACAGGAAGATTGCATTGTTGCCTCATCACACGATTTGCTCTCAACACGCTCGAATTCGAAGCGGCCTTCCAACCGGGAAGCCAAACACGGATAGAAAAGAAATGCTCTGTTCAACACTCAAGTGTTTAGCAGACAGTGCACCCAACACACGAAAACTTGGCGAGTACTGTGCCTTCAAGTTGGTGGTGCCAAACACCGGCATTACCCGGGTGCTCTTCACGACCAAGCGACCCGGAAATATCAAATCGCATCCAAGCTCCTCAAGCCGAATCTGCTGGAACTTCCGAAGACATTTCTCTTTTTGCATCGTGCTAGACGTTGTGGCCGAGGAATATACGACGGAGACGATGGAGTTGTCCCCAGAAGACTGCAAACGATGTCAAGATCTCACCAAGCAGTTGCTTTCGACTACTCTACAGGACTGTGAAGAACTGGGATTGACGACGACATGCGACGGAGCTCATGCAAATTTGGACAAGAAGCGCTGGAAGAAACTCCAGTCTCAACAGGACGTCACGATCTACGCCGATCGCACCGCCAACTCGGCGTGGCTTCCAGTGATGAGTCGAAATGACTGGGAATACCCAGTAGCAGTGACGGCTGTGGGGCGGATGGAATGCTCGCTGGACGATGTTCTATTCGCACTGATGACTCCAAACACGGCTTCACAAAGACTACGGAGTTTTCTTATGGATCGACGTCCTGAAAAGAATTGTCAGCTCACTCCAATCGTAACACCAACAGAGGAATCTCCTTTTCAATTTCTTGCAGTATCGCGGTTTGTGAATGTGCACAGCTGGCCATTCACAATGTTCAAGAGTCCAAGAGAGATGGTTCTTACGCTTGCAACGGGTAAAATTACTGCATTGGACGGAAAGCGCTGCGGTTATGAGTTGGCTCAGTCTGTTCCACTCCGTAGCCAAGGAACACGTGCCCCGATGCCTCAATTACGAGCTGTGCAGGCGCGCATTTTCTGGGAGCAGCCGGATGGATCAATTGGCGTCTATAGCAAACTCATTGTCGACGCAAAATACCGTTTATCGGATTCCGTGAAGCAGCAAATGCTGTGTCGAGCAGTTTTGGGCTTCTGGAAGTTTGTGCCACGCAGTCTCGAGACGAAAAAGTTGTGGTGGTGTGTGAAGAACAAAAAGGCGTTAATGCACAAACTTCGGGCTTATTCTCATTCCGAGGAGACGGTGGAATGCGAATTGAAGCCTCTGACGCCCAGAAGCAAACAAATTGTAGCGAACCAGTGTGAGTTTTGTGACACTTGGCTATGCGGAGGATCGAAATGCCGAGTCTCCTGCCAGCTCAAAATGGTTTTAAGTAGCGAAACAGGGTTCCTCGAGCAAACTTTAGCACTTTGCCCGCGCTGCGCCGCTTTTGTACGAAGCCGAGATTCATCTGCAATCGCTCGAGCAGCGTTACTAGAGATGGAGCAGAGCTCATTCGGTAGTGCCTCGTCGTTTACCAAAGCAGTAGCCCGAGAAGACGACACTCTTTCTTCGGCATCGACTGAATCGACTGAATTAATGTAAACACGCCACCTTTCATAAAAAAAACAAAAGTTGTGCCCGGAGAAGCCCCGAAGTTAATCAAGGGTCACGAAATTTTTGATGCATCTGGACGCTATCCTAGCGTATCCATCGACGCAGCATAATCTGCGAAAGGTACGTGATAGTGTTAGAACTTTATGATCATGAACTTCACTTCAT